AGCAGGAATCCTGCTGAGGTGGGTTAAGTGGGTTTAACAAGAATCCTCCTACCCTTCATGTCTCCTCTTACTCGTGTCCCATCCACTGCCCTGTCACTCTGCTTCCTGGCTGGAAATCCCCAGCTGTCTTCGCCATATTCAGAGGTAAACCTGATCTCTCCCCTTATTGGCATAGAACCCCTACTGGGATAGCCCTGAACAAAGTCTTCCTTACAGTTTTAATAACTGTCAGAATAAGTTTTTACTTTAATAGAGGTGAGAGGTGCAAAGGATAAGTATTCTTACTGTGTTGCCTTCAAACCTTAGAACCCCTCCAGTAATCAGCCTTGCTTTTCTTTTATGTTCACCTAACAACCTCTGATGGAGTCTAGCTTCCAAATTTGTTTTCAGGCTGAAGAGAATGTCCCTCACCATTTTATAGTTCTCACTGTTAATGAATAAATTGGCGCTGATGCTGGTTTGTATACTTCTGTGACTAAGTTAATCATGGAGCAGTATTCCCAAGGTCAAGCATGCTGACAGAAATCAAGTTTCTGGGCCCACAAAAGAGAGGACCAGAAGGTGAGACCTGGCCACCGTGAGCTACAGCATTTAAGAATTCTTGCTGGATCTTAGATGACACAGCTACCTAGTGAACATCGGCAACAAAAGTTTTTGAAAAGTCAATAGGGAGGGACTTCCCTCGTGGCACAGTGGTTAAGAATCCACCTGCTAATGCAGGGAACACAGGTTCGAGCCCTGGTCTGGGAAGATCCCACATGCCGCGGAGCAACTAAGCCCGTGAGCCACAACTACTGAGCCTGTGCTCTAGAGCCCACGAGCCACAAATACCAAGCCTGTGTGCCACAGCTACTGAAGTCCACGCACCTAGAGCCCGTGCTCCGCAACAAGAGAAGCCACTGCGATGAGAAGCCTGCACACCGCAACGAAGAGTAGCCTCCGCTCTCCACAACTAGAGAAAGCCTGTGCACAGCAATGAAGACCTAATGCAGCCAAAATAAATAAATTAAATTAATTAATTAAAAAATAAAAAGTCAATAGGGAGTTACAGATGAGGAAATAATGTGGGTGATACAAATTATTTTGGCCACTGCATTCAAAATTTAATCTTTCTTCTTTCTCACTGTTTACATTCTAAGACTCAATATGTGTCTTGTGTTTGCTCAGATTTGCCCATGGCTTTATCCTGACCTGGGGATATTACTAAAATGCAGATTCTGGCTCAGAGTTTCTGGTGGGAGTGGGGATAGGAGTCTGCCTTTCTAGAAAGCTCCCTGGTGTTGCAGATGCTGGTGGTCTGGGGGACGCCCCCTTTGAGCACAGGAGGTGAGGTGTCATCATCTCTAGTCTGGAGTATTGCCACAAACTCCTAATTGGTCTCCCTGCCTCCCTTTCCAATCCATTCCCCACCCTGCAGCTAGTATGGTCTTTCAAAAATGCAAATCTGAACAAGTTCTGCCAGTTGCCCTGCTTCCCGTTGCCCTTAGAGCCCTCAGATCCTGCCTCCTACCCCACCTTCAGGCTCTCCCTCCTGTCTCAAGCCCACTGTTCCAGCCCCGATGAATTAGGCTCGATTCCTATAAGCAACTGTCATCTCTACTCTGCTTTCTCACAAGTTCTTCTCATCTGACAAACATTTTTCTTCTATTTTCCATCTTCACCCCTCCCACGCCCTCCCAGGCTTTTGAAATCCATTATGTACCTCTCCTCTGTGATTCTATAACACCCCGAGCCTCTTGCATTTACTGTACTTGTCAACCTATATCATTACTTTTCTCAAATTCCTATCATTAGATCATGAATGAGGGAGAGAGGTACCTGTATTTGTTTTCATTGTGTCTCCATCACATCGTCTCACATATAGAAAATGTTTAAAATATGTTTATTGAGTTGAACCAGAAAAGGGAGAGTGTTGAGGAAGCAGAAGCCTGTAAGTGTTTCTCATTTGGTCTGCTTCATAGAGTCACTATCGGGGTTACTAAATGTTAAGGACAAAATTGATTAGGTTGTCAAATTGAACTACATTCTGAAGCTTTGTAACTACTTTAGAATAATACTAGGCTTGCAGTTCTGTTTAAGTTCTGTCTTGCCTAAGCAATACAGAATACATATTTTATATATAAAACAAGGCAGCCCTGACCAGCTGTTCTCTATTTTTACAGAACGGCTACAGATGTAAGCATAAATAGTAGTTAGATATGCAAAATACGGAAAGACTAAATGGTAAGTAGGTGTTGGAGTTAGATAGCCTTTTGAGAGCCCCTTCCGAGAGATGTTTCATATGATAAGCAGTTTTTAAATCTTAGTTTGTGAGATGTTGCAGATGGATTCTAACAATTATAATTTTTAATGGAATCTTGGAACTTTACATTAACTTCTGAGATTCCCTTGGAACTTTACATTAACTTCTGAGATTCCACAATGCATTATTTTAAAAAAAGATCAAAATGGTATCAACTCAAGAATAAAACAGGTGCACATGCCTAACACAAAAGTCTGTGTGGTTGAAGTATATGAATTCAATGAGGCCTATTTATAGTATCATATACAAAAGTATAATTGATAATCTGTTGTATTTTCACATTTTTCTTTCACTATGCTTTTCTTGACTAGAGATTTTCTTTTATTTTGCTAGGAAGGAATGGCATACGAAGCACTAGGATCCACCTGGCCTTTTGGTTTTCCCATTGTTACCAGATCCTAAATCTCTCTCCTGATCTGGCTCAGGATTCTGGTGTAGAATAAACTACTGGATTCCCATCAAGGTACTACCTGAGATGGAAAAGGTTCCCCCTGGGAGCTCACCTGCCCCACCCTACGAATTCCTCACCGTGAACAATGCTCCCATTGTCTTTCTTCATTCATTGCTCACAGAGCCACACCTGTTAGAGGCCAGCAGCTGCCAATACTCACGTTCTTAGAAAGAATGAAAAGAAGAAATAGGGCAAGCTGGAGTTAGGAAATGATTCAATGTGTCAAAGTATCTTTTTTATGTTTTGTGTCAGAATATTTAATATTTTCATGGGTGTGACCTTTGCTTTCAATACAAATATGCTAAACCTGTTATTTATTGATTACCTCTTACATGCTATAACTTCTTATACATATTTTATTTTGTCTCTGTGACAGCCAGGAAAGTTAGGTATTATACTCCCCAACGAAGGGAGTCCCAGAGAGAATCAGTCCCAGTCAGTGGTTGATCCTAGATTCAGAGTTGGATCAGCCTCATTTCTAAAGCCCAAGTTCTTTCCTCTAACTTCTGCCGCCTTCGAGAAAGCAAAGCCCCAAAGATATCTCATTGGAAGTTTCAACAGCGTTTGTATTTAGTTAAAAAATACGGAGGAAAAAAGGAATGTATGTGTGAACAGAGTCTATCGGGGGTATCTAAAGAGCACGTGACGGGCCAATACTGGCCCTTGGAGGGACTGTTATTTCCTCCCGCCTCTAACACTTCCCCTTCTCGGCATCTGCAGGTGTTAACTGTCGCTGCGTGTTACCCAGGAAAACTGCAGGGCGCCAAATGGTGGCGCGAAGGTTATGGCAGTGAGCGGAGGACTAGCGATCTGGAGACGTCAGTCTTTAAAACATGTATCTAATCTGTCCTCATTTATTTCCACTGCCACTTCCCCATCCAGCTACTCGCTAATAGCCTTGCAATTCTCCCCTCCCCCAAGCCCTTCTCCACCCCCCAGATAATCGGATCGTGTCATTCCTCCGTTTGAAGAACTTCTTGGCTGCTCCTAGCTCCAAGGATAAAGTTTAAAAACATCCTTCACGCGACCTTCCAGGCCCTCCACGTTCCGGACCCTGCTCAGCGCTCCGGCTTCCACCTCCGGCCATGAACCCACCTGTTCGCCTAACTCCCCACACCGTGGCCCTTTCCTCCCTCAGCTCTTTTGCACACCTTGTCCGTTCTCTTGTCCCCCGCCTTCCGCTTTCCCAAGTCCCATTCACTCTCCGAGTCTCAGCTTAGATGCCACTTTTTAAGTGAGGCCTTTCCTGTCTGATTCCTACCTGCAGTCTCGTCACCCGCCATCTAATTAGATCTTCCTGAATGGGCTCCGCTAGCACTCTTCGTCGCCGACTGCGATTCGCGTTTGCATACTTGCCTTATTATTTTTAATGTCTGCAAGTGTCACAAGGGTTTAGCACTGTGGCCGGGAGGCACACTTTTGGAACCTAGTAACTTTTGAATGAATGAAGAAGAACTTGAACAGGATGTTGTCACCACCATCATCCTACCGTGACGATATTTCGAGTCCCCCAGTGCTACTGTCAATGGCACCCACCCCTGAAGGGTTGGCAAAGCCCTGGAGGAGGGTAGGCTGTCTGGCGCTCCCACCACTCTCTCAGGCACGCCGGGGACGACCCGGGCACAGCGCGGCTGGGGGCAGGTCTCAAGGCCAGGAGTCCTCCGGGCTCCCAGGTTCACGTGCACTGGGAGAGGAGGGGCGGAGGAAAAGGAGAGCGTGAGCAGGGTACCTAGAGGGGAGCGCGGGCCGCGCCCGGTACGCCTACACCCCCGCGGCCAGCCGCCGCCCGGGAGAGACTTCCTCCTCGGGGGCCGGCGGGGGGGG